GGATGTGCAGGCCCCTCAGGATGTGCACGCCCCCTCGGGATGTGCAGGCCCCTCAGGATGTGCACGCCCCCTCGGGATGTGCAGGCCCCTCAGGATGTGCACGCCCCCTCGGGATGTGCAGGCCCCTCAGGATGTGCACGCCCCCTCGGGATGTGCAGGCCCCTCAGGATGTGCACGCCCCCTCGGGATGTGCAGGCCCCTCAGGATGTGCACGCCCCCTCGGGATGTGCAGGCCCCTCAGGATGTGCACGCCCCCTCGGGATGTGCAGGCCCCTCAGGATGTGCACGCCCCCTCGGGATGTGCAGGCCCCTCAGGATGTGCACGCCCCCTCGGGATGTGCAGGCCCCTCAGGATGTGCACGCCCCCTCGGGATGTGCAGGCCCCTCAGGATGTGCACGCCCCCTCGGGATGTGCAGGCCCCTCAGGATGTGCACGCCCCCTCGGGATGTGCAGGCCCCTCAGGATGTGCACGCCCCCTCGGGATGTGCAGGCCCCTCAGGATGTGCACGCCCCCTCGGGATGTGCAGGCCCCTCAGGATGTGCACGCCCCCTCGGGATGTGCAGGCCCCTCAGGATGTGCACGGCCCCTCAGGATGTGCACGGCCCCTCAGGATGTGCACGGCCCCTCAGGATGTGCACGGCCCCTCAGGATGTGCACGGCCCCTCAGGATGTGCACGGCCCCTCAGGATGTGCACGGCCCCTCAGGATGTGCACGGCCCCCTCAGGATGTGCAGGCCCCTCAGGATGTGCACGGCCCCTCAGGATGTGCACGGCCCCTGGGGAATTGCACGCCCCCTCAGGATGTGCACGCCCCTCAGGATGTGCACGCCCCTCAGGATGTGCACGCCCCCTCAGGCGCTTAGTTCTGTGAGAGGCCGCTGTTGTCAAAAGCTGTGAGGAGGCTGACTGAGTGGGCGGGGCAGAAATGGGTTGTCACCGCCAGGAGAGGACACGTGGCGGGTGACAGGCGGAAGTGTCATTGCACCAGACCAGAAGCGACCTCCAGCGGTGGGAGAGCTTGGCAGGATGGAGGGTTGGGTTTGGCTGGGTCACTTCAGACACGGGGGCCTGTGGAGACCACAGGGACGGTCACCGGACATGAGCAGCGCAGGCTGCCCGGTGGACCGAGGCCACGAAGGTTCCCGGGATGTGCCTCTGGGCTCCCCAGTCGGGAGAGCAGGACAGAGGGGTGTATGCCGGGACACAGCTGGGCTGGAACCACCCCAGCAGCAGCCCCGCTGGCATTTTCGCGGTCTCACAGAACTCGGGGACTGTCTGCACAAAGAAGCAAAGGGACCCGCCCACACGCCGCACCGTCGGCCTGAGCGGAGCTGTGGGGACAGCGGCAGGCGCTGACTCAGGGGGGTCAAGCTGACCGGGAGGTGACCGAGGCTGCTACGGGGTGGTGGGGATGGTGACGCACTGCCCCCCACTCACGGGGTGCGCACAGTGGGCTGGCGGCCGGGCTGAGCGGAGCTCCCATGAGCATCAGGACGTGAGGCCGAGACCCAGAGCTATGAGTGGAGGTGACACCCTGAATCCACAGGGACTCGGAGGTGCACAGGAGACGGTGGGGTCTGAGGTCACAGCACTGGCAGCAGGGGCTCATCCCTAGACAGGTGCCTGGGAGGAAGGCGTGGCCTGGGGGAGGCGTGGCCTGGGAGGCGTGGCCTGGGGGAGGCGTGGTCTGGGGAGGCATGTCCTGGGGGAAGGTGGGCGGGAGATGGGGTGGGGAGGTGGCAGACTCATCGTGTGGGAATGCTGAACTCAGGGTGTGTGCATTTCTGAGGCAGTTGTTCTAATTTTTATGTAAGGTCTCTTGAGCGTGTTCTCATCATTCAGTGGATTCTCACTCTTATTACCCCTTTGCACCATTCTTACTATTAATGCCTTTTAAAATGATTTTATCATAAACAATGGAATTAGCAGAATGGAGAGGAATAGGGGGTGGCTGGTTAGAAGGTGCCAGACTGTGGGCCCTGCAGGTACCGTGGCAGCGTCCCCTCCTCTTCCCACCCTCCTCCCTCCTCCTCCCCGCTCCCCGCCTCCCGCCACTCTTGCTCGTTTCTAACTTTTCAGTGCGGTCCCTTCTTGGCATTCTAGCTGATCTTTCAAGAAACAAATGGAGGAACTTCGTGGTACATTTGGCCGGAGAGGGACGCCTGGGCGGGGACCGTGCGGAGTTTAGGAGCATAGTAGGCGCGGCTCCTGGCGGGACGGTCCTCCCGGTTAGCACCGAGGGGCGCCCGGGCAGAGGTGCTGAGTCGCGCTGTGAGGAGCACTGCCTGGACGGTTGCCTGCCGTTGAGACCGACCCTGCAGTCCCGCTCCGGCTGGAGACGGCTGCATGTGTACCGTGTTTCTAGAGTACATGCGGCTTCAGGAGTCAAATTGTTTTAAAAAGTGATGTGTTCTTTTCAAAATCATGTTCAATATAGTGTTTAAAAGCTTTGGAAAATTTGGATAATTCCTGTCTGCCAGTTCCCTGCCAGTTATGTTTATGCTGAATGTTTCTTAATGTTTGATACGTTTTTGAACAGTTGCTGTCAGAGAGGTTTTTAAAGACTCCTCTCTCCTTTCTGCCTTTGACGCACTCTGCTCCCTTGGGAACCAGACACTAAAATCTGTTTCCATAACAGCTTTTCCCTCGCAAGTCTGTGGTTGGGCTGTGGGTTGAGTTTTTTATAAAAGCACCGCGTGTGGCTTAGACAAGCAGAGCCTGTCACTGGAATCACTGGAAAATGGAAACAACGAGGAAGCGTGTCAAGAACACGCTCACCTGTGAGAGCGGTGGCCCTAGGTCCACGCATAGGACTCGGAGGCCTGTGAGGTCACGTGTGGGGAGCCGTGGCCCTGGCTGCTGTCTCTGGGCGTGTGGTGCTGTCCCGCACTCAGAGAGGACGCTGTGTGCTGAGTTGCACTGACCCTTTCTGAATGGTCTCTCCCAGGGTCCTGGGACCAGCTGTGACCTTCAGAGTGAGCGCCAACGTCCAGAACGTGACGCCTGCAGATGTGGCGAAGGCAGCAGGTAAGGTTCTTTCAACACAACTACACACGTGCACACACATGCAGGCACCAGGTCGGGAGGACAGACAGCCTCCCTGGCACCCTGGTGCTGGCGGGGAGACAATGAGGCAGTAGTGGGTCAGCTTACATGACTGCGGGTGGACTCGCGGCAGCTCCAGGTGGCAGGCGCCGGTGCGGGGGTGGGGGGGACGGGGAGAGGATGGGAG